GTTCATAAAGTAGAACTCTGATTTCATTACTGTAAACTGTTTAGTTGGCAGAAGACCGAAGAGGCATCCAATTGCTACTGCTAATGTTTGACACAAGGTTGAATAACATTTAGATAGAAAAGCAGTATGTCTTTGTTTTAGGTTTCCTGCTGCATTCTGAATAATAACCCTGGTCTTGAAGAAGGCCCATCTAAATTCTGAACATCCTTGAAAACGGTCTTTCCTTTTATCTAGCTTTATGCAAAAAACATTTTGCAGCAACCTGGGGAATGAGGGTTTTTTTGTTTTTGTAACATGAGTAAGTATTCCCTTGATACTTAGTCATGTGTATTTCTTTTTGCTGCATTTTAATATGTAAAGTACAGAATTATAAATCTTACATGTTAGACATGTTTCAAAACCTGATATTACTGGCAAAGGTGTATTTTAATTCTAAGCCTAGAATTATCTGAAGTATTGATTTGTAAAGATCAGTGGAGATACATACATTTCAACTTCCTTGAGATGTTATAGTAAATTCTTTCCAAAGCTAGCAGAGAACTTAGGCTTTTTGAAATGATGGTAGAATCAGCAGTGATCTCTGTGCAAAGCTGAGAATGGTATGAATGGCATATGTTGTCTTTTTTTAATTTCCACTTAAAGCTGCTATAGAAATGCTAGTGTAGTATTTACTTGCAGTATGTCCACCACCCCCAACCCCATGTGGCAAGGTCCTACATGTAAATGTTTTTCTTCAATAGATTTTTATCTGGTCTTCTACATGCATAGTGAATTGATGGAAAATATTCGGTTTCCTTCTAATTATGAGACATTTGTTGAGCTGTATGATGTCATTTGAGGCATAAATAATTATTTACTACTGTGCTTATTTTTTGCTTAATCTTACATTGCTTAGTTGCTTGCCCGCAATTATTTTCCAAAACTCTGTATAACTGTTCAGTTTCTCCAAAGGTGAACTGCACAAAAAGATTAATGGCGTCAATGACTGTAGTTTATTCCTTGAGTAATAATAAGTACATGGAGTACTTTCCAGCCACGTGTGTTCATTGTTTCAGCTGATGTGATTTATATAGTGAAATAAGAGTCTGGCTCACGTAATTGAACGCTACGTCTTGGGCTGCAGGACAATAAATGAGATTAAGCTATATTACATTTCTGAAGGCAGAATATACAGTTATTAAAATAGGTGGGTTTTAACATTTAGTTTCAGAAAAGAAGTTACTTCAAAAGTAAACATTTCCTGACTAAACAAAAGCAGGCTAATGTACATTGGCAATGTTTGTTATCATAAAATCTAATTATGATTCATGTAATTGAGAGCTTATCATCTTTGCATTGGTGTCTGTTTTCCAAAGAAGTGTTTTGAACATGCTTTCTTAGTTGGTTTTAAAGAATTAGAGTTAAATAAAACTCTTTCAATGGAAGAAGCACCAGTATTATTTTACGCTTACGTAGGATTTTGTATTCTGTTTCCATTTTTCAGTTTGATAGTGTTTTTAAACATAAAGTAATTGTCTTTGGGGAAGACTTACAGAGGGTGGGGTAGATACAATTTCTGTATTATACAAAATAGTAAGTAGAATTTATGGGGTTATTAAAGGCTCAGTTTGGCAAACTGCCGGATAGTTGCATCATCCTCTAATCATTATCTTTTTCTGGCTCCTGACCTTGCTCTAAGAAATAGCATGCTTTTAGTTATCCTTTCACTCTTGACTTGTAATTTGATTTTCTTATTAGATTATTAACAGGAAAAAAGGCTTTAAGTTTCTTATTAAAAATGAATATTCTACAGTCTTATTGCAGCCCAAGCTTATGATTCTTCAAATAATCAATATAGATACTCCAGCGTATGCTAAGTGTCCAATGCTTGCTATTTGTAACAAAGGGCTGCTATTGGATTAATACCCATAGTTTATTGCACACTGGTGACTTTTTTGTTTTCTCCCGTTCTTAACGTATTTTTTCTAAACAATTATTTTAAGAAATGCTCAGCCTTTTGTCAGAACAAATGCTTTGACTCTGCCCTGCTGCTGAATGATATTGCGCAGAGGAGGCAATGGCACAGAGTTTGTTGTTTTTGACAGCACCGCTAAAAGCATGAAATGTTTCTGAAGGATTGGCAGAGCCTTGTAATAAGGGCTGCAGGAAATGACTGTATTGGGTGTGGAAGAAAGACACTGTCCAGATTTAACACACGAGCTACCGAAATAGTTGAAAACAGAGGACAGGAAATGGTATCATAGGATAGACTAAAATGCTATACAGAACTCCATTGTATATACAAAGTGTTATTGTTCTGAAGTTCAAATTCAACTCAGAACACTTTGGCATATGAAAGGTAACACTGACAGCCTAGTGAGTAATAAAATGCTATTTATTATTAGATTGAAGCCCAGACTTTTTTTTTTTAATAATAGTTAAGTTCTTTAAATGTTCTGGTGTTTTTGCTGAAAATGGAAGATACTGTAACAAATTTTTAGATATAATTTGGTGAAAATTATGCTGTTTTCTAATAACTTCTCTCACATCTGTTCCCAAATTCACTTAATTTTTCCTTTATCCACTAAGGATAGATATTGATGCATAACTGTTTTTAACAAAACTGTGATTCTATGAAAACCGTCTTACAGTTTCAGAAACCTTAGGGGTAGCACAGAACTTAATTTCCCTTTTTTGGCTGGCTGGTTTTTCTGTGTGACCTAGCTGTGGCTACTTTTCTCCTGGCATTCAAGAGCATATTTAGCTCTAGTATGTATTCTCAGCTCCAGCCCAACTTTTCAGCCACTCTAACTACATTTTATCACTAACCTAGAAGCATCCCAATAAATTCAGCTCTTTTCTGCTGAGGTTTGTAGATGCTTTAATCACAAAATGAGTTTTTGCTGTGTTTTTTTTTTATACGGAAGGAAGAATGCTGACATAAAAAGCTTTTTCTTCGTTCTGCTGTCTGTGTTCCTTCTTTCCCTCATAACTTCTGAGTTAAATGGTAGAATTCTCAGGAAACATATTCCCATACCTCTTATACAAATGATTCAGGAAAGCACTAAATTAGAATAACTCCTGCTTGCTCTGTTAACCTTGGAAAACTCAAGGGCCATACTGGATCATCCATGTATGGTCATGCTTTTGGCACAGTAGGAAATTCACAAAGATGGTAAATCCAGAATTTGAAATCCTGGCTTTGAAGTTGTGAATTTACTGCTCATCCATATGTGAACGAGAATACTGTGGCTTCAAATTCCATTAAGTTCTACCTACTTAGTTGGTTTTTTTTCTTTAAAAATATGTGGCAATAACTTTGTTTCCAAAAGACCTTTATAAAATGAATATCTTCAGATCAGCACAAGGGTTTTGTTCTAATTCTTATATTAATATCTGCTTTTTCTGTTTCTAAGATGATAAAACACTAGCTAGGGTTCCATTTATGGAACGGAAGAGGAGGGAAAAGGTGAGGGCTGCATTTGACGGTTCCTCCACCATGTAACAAGGATCAGTAGTAATGGATGAGGCTCCCGCATTAGCATCCTGGGGAGTTCACACCTAGGTTCTCAACATACACTAGCTAGGTATCTTAGCAGTACCAGTCGGCTTCGTGAAGTGTTACGCTATTACTGATACATGTTATTGTTCTTTATTCTTGCTAAGTTTTTAAAGGCATTAAAATTTTGGTAGGGGTAGAACGTGACACTTACAACTTGCTTATTTTAATTGCTTTTAGATTAATATGTACTTAATGTAATAAAATTGGATTGGGCATAGGAGCCTATTCAAATTAGAATAATAATACAAAATTCATGCCAGTATGGTGCTACAGGCTATCAGAAGAGAACTTCCCACACAGTGAACTTTGTGTAATAGACTTTTCCCTGAATTGTGCCTATAAAGGCTGCTTTCAGAACTGCAATGTTTGTATAAACATAATCTTACTATGAAGTGTATTTATTTATACACATGTATACACAAGTTCTGTAGTGTGAACTGTAGGGTTCCCTGTTGTGAAATTCCCCTTGCTTAACTTTTTTTCATTTGCAGCTGAATAAGGTGTGTGTATTTTGGGAATTGTTGCTATAAATATGATAAAATGATTGGAATGTGGCTTTAAATTTTTTTCTGAGAATTATATTTTGGTTAACATGATTGGTGCTTTTGTCAGTACAGGAAAATGGAATACGAGGCACTAAACTTTTTTTCTGATGTGTTTTGAGTGTAAGCTAAGGCCTGTATCCTGAGCGTATTCAGCTTTTGGAGATTTCAGTGCTGAAGCCAGGACCTGTAGGCCTTGACTTGTCTAATTCTCCTTAGAATGAGTATCAGGAGTAAGGTAGAGAAAGACCTGTGTGGGGAAAAAAAAAAAAAAAAAAAAAAAATCAATGGACATAAATGACATGTATATCTGTGTCCAGAGCTTGGCATGAATTTGAAGGGAAAAGATTTATTCCCTTAATTGCTAAATATAATAATCAGACAGTATAGACAGTATATATTTTTGAGACTAAAATTAATTTTATTAGAGGATAGATACTGGAGTCCCCTCCAGATCTTGAAAATATTTGAAGAATAAATTTGAGAAATAGAGACTTTTAAGAGCTGGGTTTTTTTATTTTGACAGGCAACAATTCAGTATAGCTCACGTTCTGTGAGGTTGGGGATGAAGTGGGGTTGTGCAAAAAGCACACACTTTTTTTGCAGGCTCAGCCTGGAGGAACTTCAAAGGGCAAAAATAAAAAAAAGACACAACAAATGTTACTAGAAATAGTTGGTTGGCAATATGCTCTTCCAAGCATTTAAGCTACCACAGTGTGCACTTGAGCTAATATTACCTTTACATATTGATCTTCTGGTGAAAGTGGTTTTTGTTTGATTGTTCAATACTGTGCCTCTTGTGAGAAGTTTGTTATTGGAATTTCTACAGTAAAGAAACACTTTGTAATTTGTACATGTGCACCAAAATTTTGTATTGCTACTTCAGTCTTAAGGTACATTTGTTTTTCCTCTTTCAGGAAATGGGTTTGTGAATTCTCGAGCTTCACCAAGTCTACTCGGAACTACTGGTGGTGGGAATGGCTTAGGCAAAGTCATGCCTACAAAGTCTCCACCTCCACCTGGAGGAGGTAATCTTGGAATGAACAACCGCAAACCTGACCTCCGTGTTGTCATCCCACCCTCCAGCAAGGGTATGATGCCACCACTGGTAAGTTAAAACGTTTGTTTTATGACTGGCACTGTAAAAATGAAGTGTTCTGTCCACATGCACAGGGAGAAACAATCTCATCTGCTTACCATAGGCTACAGTAATAGAAGGGGTTTTGTATTCTGAAATTTCAATAATGAAAATCGTAAGTTATAAGTTGTTAGCTTGGGAGAAGTTAAATTTGTATGGATTTTTTTTTTTTGAAGTGTAAAATAGCAGTCTGACCTAAATGCAGTAAGAGTGCAATCCTAGAAATGTAGACTGGGATTTTATTGTTTTGATTTGACATCTCACTGAATTGGTACTGAGAACTTTGTTGGTTTGGAGGATGTGGGTTTTAAAAGGGGTTATGCATTATTCTGTGGAGGAATGGCTGATCTGATGGGTGATGTGAACTGTATTAACATGCCCTAAAGCACACTTTGTACCTGTTTTTCCTGGGTCATAATGGCTGTGGGATGTAAAATGTAGCTTCAGTGGTAATGATGTTCTGAGAGAAACACTTGTTTGATGCGGTGTGCCGGAATGCAACCTTGAGTGTCCTATGGTGGATGTCATGTCTTCAATCAAGGCATAAAAGAGTAATGAGGATCAGGCTCAGTCTCTATTTGTGTACTTTTCAATACTATTGTGCAGTTTGGCATGTTGGTAGTAATGTTTGTTCAGCCTAGATTTGGAATAGCACACAAGTTTCGTGTCAGGCATGAGGCAACCACAGCATTGAGACCAGAACAGGTATTTCAGGAAGAGTTACTCTATTTTTTTCTTTAACTTGGTTGGCCAGATCCTTTTGTCTTAGTCTTTCACTGTCATGTAGAAATTTTAAACATCTATGTGTACATTTTTTGTTTTCTTTGTATGGAAGAATGAACCATAACCAAGAGGAGCAGGACATAAACAATACAAGTACTCTCTGCATAATTCTTACTTGTTTTTAAGATACCACAAGTGCTTACATTTGTTACTGGTATTCATGATGAATAATAAAAAATTAATGCAGGTAACAAAAGCCATAATTATCCTCCAAGTAATGATTCTTGAAGTTCTAGGTTTTTCTAGGAATACTGAAGTATATAGAAGACATAGGAAATACACCGGCTGATCATTAAAGTGAAAATTACACTTTTAAATTAATCAGAAATAGATACAAGAGGAGAATCTTGTTAATGCAGTTGTTCTAATGTTAGTGTACAGCACCTATTTACTGCTGTGTTGTTAGGAACAACGTAATATTCAGTCTAGGTTTGATCTGTCTTTTTGAGGAAATTGGAAGGAGATTTTGGAGTAGAGATGCTGGGATGGTGTGATGGTTGTATGTGAAAAATATTCTGTTACTGAGCTGGATGTTTATTGGATCAGTCCAGCCAGAAACTGCTGTGCTCCATATCTACATGTGTTGTCAATGTGTCGCTGTGTCCTTGTTTTTACTAAGCTTTCCCTGCACTGATTTTGCCAAAGCATGTGTTCTTTCAGTACAATATTTTTTAATTGAACGGAATTACATAAAGTATTATACTTCGTAGTAGTATTATTTACAGAATCAGCTGGCAAATTCACATTATTAATTAAATAAAAATCCTGAAGCACAAATGTGACTTTTTCTTTAACTTTTGAAAGCAATGCTATTTTTAGTAACTGTGTTATCCCTCTTGTTTGCTGAGTACAGTCGGAGGAGGATGAATTGGAGTTGGTGAGTTTGGGCTGCTGTTTGATCAGAGAGCAAGATGCTGAAAATGTATTTTACTACAGCTTTTTAACTGTAGTTTCATTACATATTTAAAGTAATTCCAGTGTTCCCTTGGTAGCAGACAAAAATAAATTTGTTTTATCAAACTCAAACCCCAACCAATTCAAGTTGAAAACACATCCAAAGTCTAGTGCTTTCCATTTGTAAACTTGTATTTTTTTTCCTGGAAGTATTTCTGTTTTTCTTGGAGGGAACATTGGAAAAGAGCCTTACAGAGTAACTGTCCATGTGTATAGGATATTTACAGTCTTTAATGTAAAATATAAATAACCACTTATCATCCCCTAAATTATTGGAATATTTTTAGTAAGTGGCTTCACTCATCAAATTCTTCAGATTGTAACAAAAGCCCTTCTTACTTCTCTTATTTTCAAGGAGATTACATCATTGCTGGTGAGGTCACCTTCTTAGAGCTCAGAATTATTTCATCCTGCGTGAGATTATCAAACCACAGGGGTGTTCCCTGTTTACTAAAAGGAATAGAGAATTGCAAATGAATAATTCTACCTTTTTCCAGTGGAAAAATACTCTGCTTTTGAAAGGAGACTCTTGGGATTTGTGTTTTTTCTATTTTTTTCCAAAAGGTTTTAACGTTTGGCATTTTGTCTGGAAAATAACGTAAGGCTAAAATCATTCATAACTTATTTTTAGACCGATTTGCAAATTGTTTAGCTGCTGTAGCACAAATCATGCAGAAGATGCTGCATCAGAGTGCGATTGTAAAGATACACAAAGAATTCTGCCTATTACTTACTTTGATTTCTTTTTGAACATGGACCTGTTGCTAATATGAGGCTCTGACTGCATGAAAGCATGGAAACTGTAGTGATTTAGAGAAATTTCTTGATGAATGCATGCTGTTGGTTGATTTTTACATTAAACATGAGCAACAGATTCACAAAAGTAAGGAAGGGGAAATGATCTTTGTAAGTCGGTATTGAAGTTTTTAAGGTTTATTGGAATGACTTGTGGTTATAAACAGCTGTTATGCATGTTCCTCTCACCTTTATAGAGGAGTGTCTGGTTTCCAGTGCAAGAAATAAAGCTCTAATTCAACGTAAAAATACTTAATCAAAATACCACTGCAATTGGAATTAATGCAAAAGCCCTTGAATTCAGGTATTCCTACCTGCTAAAAATTGCTATGGTCTTTGCAGCACAAAATAGTGCAACTTGAAGGCGGGTTGGTTTAGGGATACTGTATGGAGCGTGGGCCCTCTAGTGGTTTTAAAACCTGGGCTGATCTGCTAAGGGAAGAAAGCTCACACAAAGAAAATGTAGTAGTGTCTTCCTCAAACGTGGTGAAGAAATACGAAGTACACCTGCAATATTATGTCTCTTACTATGCTAATTTCTGGTGCTAATTCCAGTGCTAGAAAGCAGTTCCAGATCATGTCTGTGAATGTTGATTCTGTACAGTTGGAGCTGAGCACTGGATATGAAAAACAGATACAAATGGTAGCATAGCATGAAATAAAGGTGCCGAATTCTTGTTGTTACTGCTATAATTTGCACCAGCTTAAAAAATAATAAAAACAAATCCTGAAAGTTGTCATGAGTCTTTGGCTGAATCTCCAAGTAAACAAATATTAGACACATTCAATATTTCTTAGTGTCTTTGTATGGCTGAGTGTTCAGGAATTATTCAGAAATAAGTTATCTCAGAAAACCACCTTTATTAGCCACTTAAAAAAAAAAAATTCCCATGGGGAAATCCTTTGGTCTGGATTGTTTCCCAGTATACTCCTCTAACTTTTCCATTATACAGTAATCCCAACTTTATAGGCTGCCATCCAAGAAAGCTTTGGAAAAAGGTCAATTCCTGACAGACACAAAAATCTGCTCTAATAACGTATCTTTATGCCAGATAAACTTGGTCTAGTGGAGATTTTCAGAAGTACGTAAGTGATTTAAAGGGATAAAATACACGGAAAATCAGTGGGACTTTCTCTGTGACTTAAAGCTTTGAAATCTGGGAGCTCTGAAGCAGAGTGGGTACATCTGCAGAACAAATGCCAGAGAGCCTCCACATTCTTACAAGGCTCAAAGGTTGACTTTTAACAGCAGCCAGATAAAACAGAGATCAGAAGCTGGTAGCCAGTGTAAGATTGTAGCTAATTTTAATATGGTTGCTGTGGTATACTTTTTTCTTTAAAAAGATAGAAGCCAAGGATTGGTAGTCCTCAATTCATCTTCACAAGTTTAAGCTTAAAATTGAACAGAGCCGTGTTTCTGTACCTGCTTGTTCTGTTATTGTAAAGGGAATCATGCATTTTTGATACTGCTTGCTTTGTCAAGGTCAGAGTGAAGGAAAAAAAAAAAGTTCTTCAGATACTGAAATACTTGTATGCCTGTCCGAAATGAGGAAAACGTAGTAGTAGCTTCAATCTTTTAAAGCTAGGAAATGGAACTGTACCAAAGAGATGAAAAACTGCTGCTTTTGTAGCAAATATTTTTTCAGAGATAGAGGGAGTCTTGCTTTAATAACAAATTTTCAGCAATTTGAAATCCAGCTCCCTTAATGGGGAGTGGTTCTGTAAGAATGTAAAAATATAGGGTGTAAAGACTTTTACTACTTCTAGTATTTCTAAGACTTCTGTAGGTAAAACTACGTATTTGTTGTTAAAAAAAAAAAGTAGCATTTCCTGTTCTTGACAGTATCTGGCATGGCTAAATGGTGTTGAACTACGTATTTTGAAAAAAGATTTTAAGTTGCCTCAATGAAGAGGAGTACGTTAGGTGACAGAGCAGCTTTGCTGTCTGGTGGTATTCACCGCAGTGTTTAATACAAGGTTTTTCAAACAGCAAATTTGGTTGAAGGGCTCAATTTGAGTGATACGAGCGCCTACAGTTAGAACAGATAATCTGAGGCAATCTAGTTTAGCTATTTTTCCTGTCAAAAAGCACAGTTGCTCTGCGTGAACTCAAATGTCATTCGCTTTGAAACATAGCTCTATTATAACAAATACTCTCTCAGTTTCTCAGGAGCCATGGGAACAACAAAATTATTTTATCACTCAGGTCTTATCAACACAAATTTAGAAGATCTCTGTGTTCCTTTCAGGACAGATGTAGTCAGCACAGTGTCAAAACTGGCAGCTACAATTTTGAAAATTGGGTAAACAACTGGGAAGTGGGAGACTCTCTTCTGGTGGAACTGCACCTCACCATCTATGCTAAAACCCCTTCATAAAATAAGACTAGAAACTCTCAAATCACTTAAGAACTTCTGAGAATTGTTGTGTATATCCCAAAGAAATCGCATTTATTTTTGTCGTACAACTCTAACACTATTGAAATCTGCATGCATGGGAAGCAGACAACTGAGTCTTAATTAATTTTTCACTTTAGTTGGCCAAGATCATTTTGTTTAAGTCTAGAAATGTTTTGGCTTGTTTAGAAAAATCTATCCTGACAAAAAGGATGTATTCGTAACTAAAAAATAAAGTGAAGAAACATACTCTAATTGTATGCTATTTTTGTATTAGCACTTGATTTTTCCATTGTTCTAACTGATATCACAAGACATGTTGTTATTTTTAATCATTTATAGAATACCCAAAGGATAAGTAGTTCTCAGTCTACACAGCCTCTTGCTACCCCTGTGGTGTCTGTGACAACTCCAAGCTTGCCTCCGCAGGGATTGGTGTATTCGGCCATGCCTACTGCCTACAACACTGGTAAGCATTGTTTTTAATAAGTGGCTTGATTTGTCAGATGTACCAGGCTTTTGTGATTCATAAGCCCAGAAAATTTGCATTTCTCTGGCACTTCACTTCATTTTCCTATTCAGTTCAAGTGAAGGCTCTTATTCATCAAAAATGAGCCTTTAGCTTGTGAAATGTGTAAATGTTGCGACTTACATCAGGAAGAAGCTTTCAGTCAGTCAGACTGCACACAGCTGAATAGAGACACACAATAAAATGCATTGCTCATAGCAGTAGTACTAAAGCTATCCATCTGAGAACTGAATTGCCTCACATTTAGGCAATAGTTGGTATTTCAGAGCGTACTGTCCCGTTCATTCTGCTCTGCTCGGTTCCAACAGCAGCAGGGAATCTGATTCTATGGCGGCTTTTGATTTACAAAGAAGCCCAGCTGTACAACACCCAGATAGGGCCTTCTCTTCGGTGGTTGATAAAACCACTCATAGGTGGAGACTCACGGGGAAGGCATTGTCAGCATTTCACCTTTGTGAGTCTGTTATTATCTGAAGGACTTTAAAACTGCTTTTTATCCAAGATGGGTGTGATGCAAGGAATTTGGTAACACAAGTGATAAATGGTTTGCTGGTTTGGAAAGTAGTTCGTGATGTGGTGTCTCCTACTTTGTCTCCATTCCAAGAGAGATAATTTTGACTTCAGTCCCAAGGCGCTCTATTTGTTACAGACCCTGTATGTAATCAGTGAAGGAATTTTTGTAATAATTTCCTTGCAGCATTGATGGCATCAGGTTGATTACCATTGATCTATGATGCAGAGTTTAATTTTCAAATGCATCTGCAGAGAAACTACATTGCAGATAAGTGTCAATAAATGTTGTAAGTCAGAGTTAAAATAGCTACTGGTTAAAACTAGAAAGGAAAACAAAGGAAATAATTCCCCAGTTCGCTGTTCTTTTTAGATGAATTCTAGTTAAGACAATCAAATGTAATTGCTATAACTTATTAAAATAGGAACTTCTGAACTGGGGACAATTGGCAATGTTTAAATCTTATGTGGTAGGCTTTCAAATTCTAAAAAAAAAAATATATATATATAAAAAAAAAATCTTCCTTCTCTCTTCTGCAGTGGTAGCTCTTAGGAACAGAGCTACACTAGAGAGCTTCCATTTATAGCTGATCAACTCTGGCTCTTTGGCTAGACAGAAGGGCCTGGGAGTATTCACCTTTCCATGAAGCTAGGAAGATCCATGTCTCCAGTAGAGGAGATTCCCCAGTAGCGTCTCTTCCCTCGGCCTGTATCGTCTTTGGCTATGCACAAGTGGCTGGGAGGCAAAAGAGTGTCCGGAGCCC